TTCCTTGAACACCCCCATTTGTAGTCAGCCACACCGTAGAGACCTTGAAGCCAACTCCTCACCCCCAGTCCACGAACACTGGCATTCAGTGGGATTTTCTTTCTCTCAGCCTCTCTTGGTACACTGACACTTGTCTGTATTTGAGTCTCTGTTCCCTCTTTCTCAGAGTTCCCCTCCAGATTGAGGCGTGTATTCTCCCTCACTGGTTGGAAATGTATAGAAAGTGAGACTAAAGGCATTGAAGACAAGGGGCCTGGGACATATGCAATACAAGCAGTTCATACAACAAATACCAGGCCTTCTTCAGAGGAATAGGAAGAACCTGACCAGGAGTCTCTGCAGGCTGGGAGGAAAGGAAAGGGAAGGAAAACCATGTAGTCCTGGGAGAGAGGAAAGGGTGCAGTTGCTTCTGGAGTATTAAGAAAGTTCTAGAGCTCTTCCTAGGGAACTTCCCAGTAGTCCGGCTCCCTCTGCTGCAATAAATACAGCAACATCCTGATATAAGTGTCAAGCTCAGGCCTGAGGCTGGAAATCTGGCTTCAGGCAACTTCCATGGGATCTTTTAGTGGAATCCAAAGGATGATTGGATAGCCCACCACTCAACCCTGCCCTGGGCGGCAGGGGTGGGTTGGGGTGGGAGGGCTTCTTTCTTCTTTCTTGAAACATCTGTGTTCCTGCAGATGTTATGCAAGTGGCATGGGACAGTGCAATGATCATTTTGAAGGTAGTATCAGGGGGTATCAGGGATTAACAGACCCGCTTGTCCTCCAGTTCCTGAATGGCCATAGGTACCAGGAGTGATTCCTTAGCGGAGACCTCAGCTGGAGCTTGTCTCATCAAGATGGCAGTGACACTGCATCGCCTAAAGTACAGGTGGGCCCTGCAGAGCCCTCTTGCTGGCTCTGTCCACCACAACCACCTGCCCTAACCATTGCATTCGGCTCCTGGCTCCTGGTTTTTCAACCTGAACTATAGTCTAATCTTGTTGATAGTCCCAGTTTTTCTCTACACCACTTCTCAGAGACACCTACGCCTTCAGTGGAGATGTCAGGGCAAGGGAAGAGAACTTGGTGAAGACTGGTGTGGAGTGCACTATCGCTCCCTTTCCTTGGCCAGTAAGAGTTGACTTCTAGTTAAACAAGCGGGAAATGTAATTAAGCACATGGCCGATGGTGACTGCCAAGTGTGTGTGCCAGAAAACAATAGGTTCTTTTAAGATGCCAAGGACCGATATTATGCATCTTGTGTTAGAAACTGTATACACTTCACAGCTCTGAGCCTCTGTATGCTGCCTCGGATCTTCAATCAAATTATTATATTCCAGAAATATGCATAAGGGAAATGATTCTACACATTTTATGGTGGGTTGTTGCTTGTAGCAGTAATTGAAGTACCTTTTCCACTTATGAAAGTACTAATTTTATTTGTTTTTATTGCTTTTCTAGATGCAATTATTTATTTAGTGTGCTTTGGCTTTATTAAATTATGTTTACTATAGGAACATCATAAAAATGTATGAAAACAACACATCAGCCAAGCCAGCCTGGTGACCTGTATTGAGAAAGCTAGTGTTATTTTTCATATCCAAACGTAATGGAATAACTTAGGAATAAACAGATAATCTACACTAGCAAACAATGCAATTTCAAAGTAATGCAATAAAACACCTGGACAATATGATTTCATAAATCTTGGTTCTAAAATTTACATGAGTTGGGTTTTGCGTGCTTATTTGAGGACACATGGCATTTCTAAATGGAATCATTATAATGTGAAATGCAATGAAACCGAAAGGCAGGAATGTAAACAGCGTTTTTGTTGGCTGGTGAGATTTGGACGAATAAGAGGTGAACGAAGGCTTAGGGTGTCCAAAGACAAGCAGAAGGCTCTTGTCCCTATAAATGTCCTTAACCTAAAAAATTACAAGTAGCTAGACAGGCTGTGCAGGTCCAGGCCCTGGGAAATGTCCCAGCCCATCTGTGCTGGCTTCAAGGACTTTTTTGCAACCTCTGTCTCTAGCCCTCTAACCCTAGTATGGTGCATCATCTCAAAAGGAAAGAGACTTTTCACTCTTGGCAGTTTTCCTGAGAAGCTTAAATTGAATGTAAACTGTTTGTGCTGAATTTCTGTGCGATAACAAAGATAGAGGCAAAAATTTAAAGAGTGAAAGAACAAAAAGAAAAAAATCAAAACAACAGCAACAAAACCAAAGCCAGAAAAAAAAAAAAAAATCCTAACTCCAACAGCCCAGTTCATAGACAGCAAAGCGGCTTAAACAAAAATGACCAGAAGGCTTTAAGTGAATGACTTTTATTTTTCTAATTATGAATCTAAATTTTCACTTCAAAACCTAAGCCTAGTACAAAATTCGAAAGCGACCAGCAAATCCTACAGTAAAGGGTAAGTGTGGCTCAGTAACCAGCAGACGTCCCTGGAGGGAGCTCCAGTGAACAGTCTCCATTTCCTAAGCGAGTTCAACAGTTCCAAGAGGTTTCTTTCTTCAAGAGGTTTCTAAGTATATTAAGTATATGCACACACGTTTCCCCACACACACGCACACTTGCGTATTTATACAAAAGAGAGCGAAACACGACTGCACCGTGGATTTCCTTATACGAATGCCCAGAATCCTGCTGAGGTCACTTAAGTGTTTTTAGCTTCGGCTTGTGCCCAGAAACACTCCCACCAATAATATACCCAAGGAGCTGTTTGTTTCCTTTTTATTTTATTTTATTTTTTTTTTATGCTTGGCAACTTAAAAAAACAAAGTTGTCTAAATGTGATTTTAAATTCTGGTTATTTTATTATGAGAGATAGAGAGTCTCTGCATCGAATCTCTTGCATTTCCTGTCCGGTGAGCTGTCTGGTCCTGTGTATAGTCCTTTGATTAAATTTCTAATGGGCTGTCACTTATAATTTGTTGAATTATAAAGCAAGTATTCTCTTCATTTTTTTCAATTGTCCCTCAACTTTATTTGTAATAATTTGCCATATAGAGCTTGAAAATATATATGTCCTTTTTCAATTACCCCTGAATTTTGTGAAATATTTTATAATATTTTCAGGCTCCGAAATTATTTTTGTTAAAAAACTCCCACACATTCTTCTAGAATCTCTATGGGTTTATTTTCCACATTAAAATCTTTAATTCATCTGAAATTTGCCTAGGAGTGAAGAATGACAGTGGGACATGATTTTACTTTTCTCTCACATGGCTGTCCAAGTGTCCCAGCAGCATTTGCTGAAAACTAATATTTAGGTTAATTGCTGGATTTTGTTCACCAGTGCCATTCACACATCTATTTACCTGCCAGTACCACAGTATCTAAATTTCTCAGCTTTTTATTTTTAATATTACTAGACTTAGAGCAACAATCATTCTTTATTTGCGTATTCCTTAAGCACATTAAGAAAACGTGTGTCTAAGACTAACTACTTCAGTCATTTTTTTTTTTTTCCGAAAGGAAAACGTAGTTTATTAAGTAGTAGCAAAAGTGCACTCCTGAGAGGTAGGAGTGGGCTTGAGTGGACAGAAGCCCCATTTTATTTTTTAACAAAAACATTTTAACTTTGTAACAGGCTTGTCTAGCATCTGTGATGATCATATGGCATTTTTCTTGATCTGATACTGTTGTAAACTATGTTAGCAGAGTTTTCTAGTATCAAACCATCTTTGCATTCCTAGAATAAAATTATTTTGGATTGATCCTATTTTTGGAATGTTCATTTTCTCTAAGTAAATTTGACTTAAAATTTATATTAACATTGTTGTAAAATATGTGAACTTTCTCTACTTTTCCTATGCTCTGGGTCAGTTGTTACTACATTGAAATTGTCCAGTCCTTAAATATAGTTCTTTTAGAAGTTCTATGAAACTGCTCGCCTGGTGCTTTTGAGGGAGAGCTCTCTAACTTCCTGTCCCCCTTCCAACTTCCTTCTTTCCATTCCTTTTTTTCTTCCTTTCTGTCCTTTTTTTGATGGTAATTAGTACATTCTTATTTCCTAATTATTAACATTTATAATTTATATTTTTCTGGAACATTACCATTTTATCCTGTATTTCAAATTTATTTCAATAAACTGGGAAAAGTACTCTTATTAAAATTTTAAATTTCCTTTCATTTACATTAATTGTGCCCTTTTATTTCCTATTTATTCATTTATGTATTTTCTCTTTTTATCTTTATTAATTTATTTTTTAGTTTATGTATGCTATTGATATTTTCAAAGCACCAACTTTTAAACACTCCACTTCTGTTTTCTGATTTATGCAGTCTAGTTATTATTATTATTATTGATTTATTTCTCTGCTTTTCTTTCATTGTTTTATCCTTTTCTAACTTCTTGAACTAGATGCTTGACCCAGTTTGTATTACTTTATATAAGGCTGTGATTTATTTTCCAAGCAATGCATCGGTCATATTCTTTAGGTGCTGGCAAATAATATTTTCTGGAGTATTATTTTCAAGACACCCTGAAATTTTAATTTTATACAGGATAAGTCATTTATAAAGATTTCCAGGTGATAGCATTCTAGCTGTTTTTAATTTCTAGGTTATTTTGTACCTATTTCCATCTTTATATTTTCCTTTTGGTTAGAGTTCATACATTATTTTCAAAATAATCTTTTCCATGTAGCCTAATGTTTAACCATGTATGTGTATGTGTTGTTTTGTGTCAATTTGAAAATGAATTACAGTACTTCTTTTTCGACAAAGTGTTACAATGAGATCTGTCTTACTAATCCTGTTGGGTTTTGTATGAGTGGACTTCAAAATGTGGACAAAATGGAATTAAAGTATGCATTTGTTTTGCCATAAAACATTGAAATTCAGAGTCTTTTCACAATATACACTTTCCACAAACTTTCTGAAGACTCCGCATGTATCTTTCAATCTTTTGTTCACTGCTTTCCTTTGGAAATGCATGGCTGCCGAGGAAGGTGTGATGGAGAACTCGTGCGGTCGGCTAGCATCGTGCTGTTTTGTTTTCTCTCCTAGCCCAAGATTGCCGAGGAGAACTTGACCTACGCCGAACTGGAGCTGACCAAGCCCCACCAGGCTGCCAAGGGCGTCCCCACCAACACCGTCTACGCCCAGATCCTCTTCGAAGAGAACAGGCTGTGACATCAAGGCTGAGCTGCGGGTCTGTGTAGTACCTGCCACTCAGTTATTTATGAAACTTTGCAGACAAAGGCCTTATTTTTGTATTTTCACATGTGCCTTCTGAGCAGTGAGGAGCCTCTTTCTATTCCTGGTGCCTTCAAAGAGGTACAGGCTGCTCCCCTCAAAAGAACAGAGGCCACGGCCTTCAGACAGAACTCCCCGGATGGGATGTTCCTGGGCTGAGCCCCGAGACATGAGGACTCGGATTCTCAGAGCGCCCAAGGAGACTTTGTGCTGAGCCAAACCCCTTCATGTTTTCCTTTTCTTTCCCTGGATTTTCATTGTTTGAAATCTTCGAACAGTCTTCGCTGGAGTCTTGTACTCACGTGTCTCCATGATGCCAAGCTCACAGCTCGCAGCTCGAGGAAAGGCCACCGTAGGGAGATGGTGGATGTGCAGTCGAACGTCTCTGGGCACGAGGGCACTTGGGTTGGCCTCTCCCGGCTTAGACAGGTGCGTGACCCTGCCATCGCACGCAGAGGCCAGTCAGTGGAGGTGGCTGAGCTCATGTCTCTCCACCAGGGGCTCCCGAGGCTGCAGGACAGGGAGAATGTCTTTCTACAGGGCTTCCGCCACTGCAGCAGATGGCCCTACGCCAGGAGAGAAACATCCTCCGAGGTCGTACTTTTCCTTTTCTGAGGGAGCTGAGAGCTCACCGTCGGTGGGCACACTGGAGCGAGTGGCCTCTTCACTTGTGCCCAGCGGGAAACATCTTTGGCGGGGTTCCCTCGGGATGGGAGAATGGGAAGTGCAGACCCAGTTGGAAAAATGTGCCCTGAAGACCCTCCTCTTGTCGAGTGTACTGTCAGTGTACACAGTGTGTGTGTGAATTCTGGAGGGTTGCGGTGGGGTCAGGGTGCATGGGCAAGCTCCTCTGTGGCCTCGCACCACACACAGGAACCTCGGGCTCGCTGGAGGTGGCTCCTCTGTGGCCTCGCACCACGCACAGGAACCTCGGGCTCACTGGAGGTGGCCCCGTTCTGCAAGAGTCATCCTGTTGGCTGTGTTGCTCAGGATCTCTCTCGTGTGTGTGTACTCTGGGTGGCTATTCACTGTGTGTTATTAAAGCTGTTTGCCTATGTAATGGACCATGCATATGTGATAAATGATCTGTTTTAAGCACAGCTGCGTGTGCCCCTCTATGTAGCCGTGTGACCTTGGCTCAGTTTCTTATCTCCTAATGGCATTAGACTCCAGTGCTCCTAGAATTCCTGAGGGTAACATGGGATCACAAGTCACACCAGATCGCGGAAACTGTAAATTGCTACACAAACACTCTTGTTCGACATTCATGCCAAAGCTGATCTTTATTTTCAGCACGAAGGTGTCTTTACTGTGGAAGGCTCTCATTGCAGAAGATTTATTATATTTTTAAAATTATTATGTTTTTTAAAGAGCTATCTATTTAATTTTATCTATTGTTATTATTTTAATTTTGACTAGAAAGAAAGAGAGAGAGAGAGGGAGAGGAGAGGGAAAGTGAGAAAGCAAGCTGCCAGGTCTGGGGCTTGAACTGTGGTTGGCCATGTAGGAATCCAGTGTACCAACCACTATGCCACCTGCTGGCCCCAAAAGTGAGTGCATTGTGAAAGAAGAGAGAGAGAGAGAGAGAGAGAGAGAGAGAGAGGGATTTAATGATGCCATCCTCCAGCCTCTAGTAGTTTTTGCCATAGGCCACCATGCCTTCATTGCAAAAGCTTTGAAAACAGATATTTGTCCACAAATTCAGTCCTAGGGTAACACTCCCCAAGACCCATGATAGCCCATGGCTATCTCTGGTGGCTTATTGGAAAGGGTTCAAATTGGAAGCAGATACTGACTTCCTGGAAGGGAAAATAGCCTTTGCAAAGTGGAAGTCCACCCCTCCTGGGAGACACCTGCTCTCATTCCCATCCTCTCTGTCAGGTCTCCCTGAAGCTCTGAGGAAGAAAGACCATGTGGAAGAACTCACTAGAACTTCCTTGAGGATCTCTAGGGGAGTGGGGGAGGATACGTGGTTAGCACCTCGTTCATGTCATAATTATCACAGGATTTTGGAATTGTGTCATGGCAGTGTCCCAGCAGATGGTTCTATGCTGTTTTGAGGATGGAAGGTGGTTTCCTAATTTGCATGAAGAAGCCTGGAGATGCCACGTGGGAGTGGAGAGAAGATGGTGAAGAGAGGGCAATGGGGCAGGAGGTGATATTTTCCAGGCCTCTGGGCCTCTGCAGAATGGAACTGAACTCCAGTCACTCTGATGCCTACCCCCCCCCAAATCCAGGGCAAGCTTCGTGTCCTCACATGGAAATGAGCACAGCCCACTTGGAAGAGCACTTGTATAAGAGCTGAGAGCGGCAGCTAGAGCAAAGCAGTCATTGTTAGGGACTCGGTCCAACTTCTTTCTCCCAAACTCAGGACATAGTTGTGCGAATCCACACTAGGATAAGAAAATGGGGGCCCTGTTGACCATTCCCTCCACTGAAAATGCTTCCCAAGGGGATTGAAGAGCTGCGCATGGCATGGAAGCAGAGATTGTCCCACTGGTCCCCAGAAGCATACCACCCAAGCACTCTCAGACCTGGAAACCATGAGTGGCTTCCACCCGGTTATTGTTTGAAATGATAACTTGACAGTACTGTCCTGGTAACCTTAGGAAATATGTGCACTCATTCATTCTCTATCAAATAGACCACTGACCAGGCCCTGACATTTCTGAAGATGAGGGGAAACATACCATTCAAATAGAAATTAGGAAGTTGTCCTCAATATCTTCTGATTGTGAGACAGCAACAATAGCGGCTATGTATGGGTAATTTCAAATTGGGCAATTGCTTGTTCAATGATGTCGAGACAAATACGCACTCAATGCTCGGAAGAGTGGCCTCTTGCAGCGGAGTGCAGAGACTGGATTTGGGTGAACTTTGGCCTTAGCCAAGGAGGACATGCAACTACCACAAGAAGCGAGGTGTTCAGGGGAGACCACCTGCGTGAAATCACCTGGCCAAGGCCAAGCCCAGAGCTCTAAACAGACACAGCTATGGCTAGGAAGGGCTGACATTCCCGTGGGAGTGCCTCTTCACCAAGCACTGTGCCCCTGTTAGCTAAAAAGGGAAAGTGAAAAAAAGCCAGCCTGTCTCCTTCACATTCTTATCAGAGGGAAAAAGACATGAGGCACTTCATACTGTTTTTTGCATAATGATGCAGGTTGGTCCATGCATGAGAAGCTCAAAGACTCACTAGCTTTTAGGGGTTCTTTATGGCCTTGCTCATCACAGCCTCTGACATGCATGACTATAACCCAGGCTGGGCCAAGAAGGGGCTCAAGCCCCAGGCCACATAAATGGCCCAAGGCACGTATGCGGTCCCTCAGGGCTAATGGAAACCCTTGGGGGAGGCAGCCATCTTCCCTCGGGCAGTGAAGCTGGGATGGTACAAAGCAGGCCACCTCCAGGGACAGTTCCTAGCATGAGGAGGACCTTGGAGAATGGCAGAGACACCGTGAGAGAAGCAGAGTCCCAGGTCCAGGCCACTAGAACCGCCCAGACCCTTTCTTTCCCTCTGGCCATATTTGAATTCTACAAACCACCTCATCATCCTCTTTAAGTCCTGGTATTGCGCAAGTTTGTCAAGTTGCCACAGAAACAATTCTAACACACTATGCATCAAAGCTGATTTCCGGTCCAGTAAGACAACACAAAACAAAAACAAAACCTGAAATTATACTACCATTTCCTGGGGACTGACCTTTCCCCCCGAGCCCCTGCTGTACCCCGTGCCCCATCCTGAAGACCCCACTCAGTGGCTCAGTGGCGAGTTCTCCATGTTGTAGGGCTGGGTAGTGGGGGACTCGGTGGGTCCGTCTTTGGGCTACGCTTTGAGTAGAGAGGGTGTTGGACATAGATTTGGAGCTCACCACAGGGATGAGGTGTCCTTGGTGAAGCCCTGCCGGCAGGCCCAGAGCAGCTGCAGAGGCAGAGGAGGGGACCCAAGGAGTGCAGGTGATTGTGGGGATGGTGCGGGCAGTCGGGGTGGCCCGGTGGGGGAGGGGGGCAGGAGAAAGCATGTCTAGAAATTTCTCCCCTCGGCAGAGGTCAGGTGGCATAGGGGTTGAGCCCTTCTATTCTGAATTGTGTCCCTCATTGAAAAAGATCATTTGTTTTTCTGGGGAACGTCCCCTAAGTACACAGGCTGGGAGGGGCACCAAGCCTGCTCTGCACAGAGGCTTCTTCCCACGCAATCCTCGTCTCCCATAGGGTGGAAACTCGGATCCGCCTCTTAACGGCTGCGCAGGGTGGG